GAAATCTGAGCTGCCTCTTGGCCAAAGCCAGTTTTCTTAGGTCTTTACAATACCTCAAATCTCCCAAACTAATACTTGGTGCATCTCATACAATGCATCTGGCCAATCTACTGTGAGTGACAAAAAGAATCATTTATTATCTCTTAAGACACATCCTAGAGTGATTGTAAGGTTGCTCGGGGCAGTGCCATCTCTGTTGCAAACATAGCAGGTATATGTAGAGTGAGTGCCAGACCCGAAGTAGTGTGTGTGCCACCCAGAAACTGACGCCCTCTTCACATGGACCTTGTCACACCAGAGACAGTGAGAGTCCTTCCTCTCACAGGACTCTCTCTAGAGGTGAAGAAAGTAGAGGGGAAGAGTTCTTAGTAGATCTTATGAAAATAGAAAAGTTTAAAAAATAAGAGCGCCTTTTATAGGGCTCCACTTCTTTTTATACTAACATGGATCTGCGATCAACGATTTAGAAGAGGGAACATGGATGGTATGAGAAGTCTTTCTGTATGTGTTGCTTTTTTTGGTTAATAAACAAGCTGCTTTTGGCCAATGGCGTAACAGAATATAGCCAGGCTGGAAAAGATAGAGAGAGAGTAGGTGGAGTCAGTGAGAAGCCATGTTGCGCCACTGGAGACAGATATACCGGAACCATGCCAGTAAGCCACAGCCATGTGGAGATACACAGATAATAGAAATGAATTCGTTTAAGATATAAGAGCTAGCTAGAAAATACTCTTAAGCTATTGACAAAACAGTACTGCTAGTAACATAGTTTCTGTGTGATTATTTTTGGTCTGGGCGGCCAGGAAATGAACGAGCAGCCTCTACCAACACATGGTAGAGTCAGAGATTAAGAGTCAGAGATTCTAGTTCATAACTGGTTGGGCCTATATGGCAAGACTGCATAGAACAGCATGGAGTATGTGCTGGAACAGAGTGCCTCACAGTGGTACCGAAAAGAGAGGAGACGACACTGGGGTCTCAATATCCCCTTTTAAGACCACACCCCCAGTGACCTAACTTCCTTTTACCAGGTTCAGTCTCCTAATGCTTCCACTACCTGTCAGTAACATCATGGTAGTGTCCAAATCTTTAATGTGCAGGGGTCTGGGCACACTGAAGACCAAACAACAGCATCTCTGTTCATTTAATCATATGTGAAAGTAAGACCACTTCATTCCAATTTTTCTTCTGCTTATGTCCTTAGAAAGACTGAATTTAAACATACCAAGACTCCTCACTCTTCATATTCTCTAGCAGTATAATGCTTGATCACTCTTCTGAAGGAACATAAGCTTTTAAAAAAAATTGATGTTAGGGATAACCTGAGAAATTTTGTTAGCTATAAAATAAGTTTCCATATACTCTTTGGAACATATCATTTTATTCATATATTTTAGGATCTCTCTTATGTCAGGATTTTCTCGTGTTTTGTTTTACTTTTGTTTTCAAGATGGGGATACTTGTAGCCAGACCTGAGCTCCAACTTGTAACATAGTCGAGGGCGATTTTGAATTTCTGGTCTTCTGACTCCTCTTCCCCCGCGCTGAGACTACAGACAGGAGTGTGTCTAGTATTATGGGTCTGGTGGGTCTAGAGCAACATACATGCTAAGTAAATTATATACATCCAGTCCCTTGTTTCTGTGGCATTGGGGATTGATCACAGCATGCTGAGGAGGCTAGGCAGGTGCTTCACCATGGAGCCACATCCTTATATCCTTTCCCCAGAAATGCTTAGACATCGATCAGACACTCTTGGAAGTCTCCAGAGTGGTCCACATTTCCTAAGCCTTTCTTCTCCAGATGTAGATGTGTGCCTTTTAACTTTGCTATCATGGGATATAAAATACCCCAACTGGCATCCTTAAAGATTCTCAGCTCAATGTGAACATGTGGTTAAAGGGAATTTATTAAGGGCCCCTTCTTTTCTGTCTTTTGTATTTCGACTATGAAATGAGTTCTGCCCCACACTCCCTGCAGTGTTATGTGGACTCACCACAAGATTATTGGGGTCAGCCCTGGACAGAAACCTGCAAAACTATGGGACAAGAGAACCCTTTCTTCTGTAAGTGGGCTGTCTCCTGTTTCTGATATGTATTAAATGGAAACTTCTGCTTTGTTTTGAAGTGCTGGAAATTGACCTGAGGAACTTAAAAACCCTGTCCCCAAACTGCAACCTCAGCAATAGTGGTGGAAAGCTAATGTATTTGTTACTGTGCTGGAGGACATGGAATATAAACTTTCTATTTTCTGTTATTCCTAAAACTGTTTTTACCCCTAAAATAACAGCTGTTGCACTTTTTAAAATTATTGTTTTCTTATACATGTGTGTGTAATGATTTTGATTTCTCTTATTGTGCCTGCCTTTTTATATGTTCACTGGCTCCAGACACTACTCTTCTTACTCTGAAATACTAAGTAGCCCTTTAGTAATATTGTTAAATGCTATTATTGTATTTTCTCAATTAAAAGTAAATTTCCATTCATTTTTTTTACATGTGCCTTGATGTCTCAAATCAGTTGTCTTCAAATAGCCCATGGTTTTGGAAAGTCTGAAGTTTTATCTGCTTGTTATTTCATGTGAACTTAATATTCTTACCCAAACTTTCCACATTCCACATCCTCAAGCTTCATTTTGTCTCTAAAAAAAAATTTAAATGCCAGTCGAAAGCCAAAATCAACGATTTTCAGCCTCAGTTTTCAAATGTCAGTTTGTTTTACCTAACTCTATTCAATTTATATACTGTAATTCTAAACTTCAGTATTTGACATTTCTCTGCTGAAGAAAAACAGTAGAAACTTCGCCAGTAGTGTGGCTTTTGGAAAGTTGGCTCCTCCCACCTGCGGTCTTTGCGCGGGGGTGGGGTGGGGTGGGGGTGTCCTGGCTTCTTGCGCCTGCGCAGTCCTTTGGAGGCGCTGCCTCCGCCTAAGAGCCGGATCCCAGATCCGTGTAGTGCCTGCGCCCATTACGGTGGGGGGCAACCCTGTGGGCACCCTGAAAATGCAGATCTAGGTTTTCCACGTTAGAACTCTCGTACTGGAACTCCAACGAAGGGAATGATCGACTGAAAAGTAAACAATAACAAAGTAAAGGCTTGGCTTTTTCTTCTGGCCCGTTTTCTGCTGAATCAGCTAACTTCGCAGACGCTTTGAATTCTGGATTCTAGAAGAAGTTAGTTCTTGTTTCCAAGAGTGGGAAATGTGTTTTCACTATGTGAAGATGCTAAGTAGATTTCGACTTTAAAATGATAAATAATTTTTTAAAAGATGGTGGGATGTACCTATTAACCCTGCAGTCTCGCATGCGAGGGCAAAATCCTGCTGGAAACCGCAGGGGCGGTATTTCTGCAAACCTACAGAAGGTGCTGTTCCTATGAGCCTGCTGCACTGAGCCGCAGAAAACAGGAGGAAAACAGAGTACTTTAACTTATGATACACCAAGGTCGCTAAGTTTGTTTTGCCACAAGGTTGTTTTTATAAAGTTAACTGCCATCTTCCCCCCACACACACTACCACCACAAGTCCACCCCCAAAACCTGCATGGCCTTGAATGGACCTGCAGTCCGCCTCTGTCTCTACTCCTGCGAAACTTTTGTTCTCTATTTCCACTTGTTCCTGGTATGAAATCGGACAAAGAGCAAAACTCCTGAAACAAAAAGAAAGGAAGGAAAAGAGGAAGGGGGAAGAGGGAAAGAGAAAGACAGGGAAGAGGCAGGGAAGAAGGAAGGGAAGGAGAAAGAGGGAGAGAGGGAGAGAGAGAGAGAGGAAGAGAGAGAGAGAGAGAGAGAGAGAGAGAGAGAGAGAGAGCCCGCGCAGCCGCCACCGCCACCCTCCTGGCTATCTGAAATGCTTATTCCCGAGATTACAGTAATTACAGCCGCAGCATGAGTTCCATACAAGCGCTAAATGAAACAGCACATCAATTAAAAAATAAACACTCCATTCTAGGAGAAAGACAACCCCCTGGGACGTCCTAACAAGCGTAAATGAACCTGCCAAGCCCTGGCCCCTCGCACCCCCCTCCCTTCTTAAGGTGGAGGCTGAAAGCGCTGGCGGCTGCTGAATGCTCCTCAGATTCTGGGTGTTGAGCGCAGTAAGGTCCCGGCGGCCCCGCTAGGGCGCGGCCCCGCCTCTCACAGCAGAAAAGGAGGCGCTTACAAACACATGTTAAGTTTTTAGATAGGTGGCGCATGGTCTTAAAAGTAGCAAGCGAATTGGGAATGCAGTGGTAGTTGTCAGTGTGTCTGTCTTAGTTTGTGTTTGAAAGGAGGAACTGGGTCCACGTGCTTCATATATTTATATATTTTGTCTCAACCAAAGATCAACCTCCCCAATGACATCAGTTTTGATCATTCCCACTTTCTAGGTAAGGAATTGGGATGCCCCAGCTCACACAGCAATGAACACTTATGTTCTTTGCACAGAGGCAGGGCTCCTAAGCACTCATGGGCTGCCCTTGACCAAACCTGATCATCTAGCCGCAACAGAAGTCGCACTATATTCCCAAATCTCCAAGTCTGAAAAGACCTTGTTATGAGAATCCCAAAAGGGCATCACTCCCCAAATACCCCAGCTCCGTGTCTGTATCAGCCTTGGAGCCCTCCTTGCGCTTCCAAGACCCTCCAGAAACAGCAAGTGTTGTTCATGGACCGAGACTAGCTGGATCTTAACAGGTTCAGAGAGTCACGGGAGGTGCACTCACTGCCAAAACACTGTCACGGTACCCAGGTGCAGACTCGGAGAAATGCGACCTAGATCTCTGAAGCGCAGAGCTCTGTGGAGATAGTCAAGGTAAAAACTCACTCGGCGCGGTCAGTCCCAAGGTGACCAAACTCTCCACCCGCCCAAAGCCAGAAAAGCAGTCGCGTAACTACGGACTTCCTTAAGGAAGGCAGAACCTTGAGAGCGCATAGACTCCGCCCTATCGCCCAGTGATTGGCGATTCCAGAAGGGGGCGGAGATCAAGTACAGGCTGTATAAATATTCATGAGCCGGCCTGGAGGCACAAGCCGACCAAAGCCGGGAAGTTGGGCGAAGGGAGCAGCTCCTGCGGAGGTGGAGGCAGCCGCTGGCGCGGACCACGGCCCTCAGGTGTCCCCTCTGCCTTTTGCTCTGTATTTGTTTTTCGGTCTCGCAAGAAGGCACACCCTGCACACCCTACCCGACTGTGGCCAAAACGCGACGCGGACTTTCGCTGGCGGCAGCTGCAGGAGGACCGACTGGGACCGACGCGGGAGTGAGAAGGCGGCGGCCTGATCAGCGGAGGGCCCGGAACTCTGGCAGTGGCGGTGGAGCCTGGGACGGACATGAACCCTCGGGGCCCGGAGAGGGACCGCTAGGTCTGACCCCAGAAGCGAGCGGCCAGGCACAGCCATCTTGACTGCGGCCCGAAAGGAAACTTGCTGCGCGCCGCCCTCTGAGCCTTCGCTGCTGGGCGCCACGCGAAGTGGCTGGGCGTGCAGGAGGACCTGCGTGAGCTCTGGACGATGAGCCCAGGGGCCACCACCTTGCTCTGGGAGGGCTGAGTGCGACCCGGAGGGCGTAGGACAGACCCTGTGGAACTCTGGCGCGCCTGCGGTCACCCTTGCCCCAGGAGAGGCACTGGGGGGAGGGCCGGACGACTTCTGCCTAGGCTTGCGACCCTGCTGCCACAAACGCTGCCCAGAAAGGGCTAGATTGTTGGCAGATTCTCGGCTCCTCAGGGAGAAGCAGCACAAGACCTGCTGGTCGCCTGCTTTCCCTTTCCTCCGATTTCTCTCTGGGTCCCCTACGGCCCTTCTGCGCGCCGTCTAGAGGAGGAGGACGTGGGGCCGCGGCGCGCAGCATGGAGTGGGGTTACCTGTTGGAAGTGACCTCGCTGCTAGCCGCCTTGGCGCTGCTGCAGCGCTCGAGCGGCGCCGCCGCCGCTTCAGCCAAGGAGCTGGCATGCCAAGAGATCACGGTACCGCTGTGCAAGGGCATCGGTTACAACTACACCTACATGCCCAACCAGTTCAACCACGACACACAAGATGAGGCGGGCCTGGAAGTGCACCAGTTCTGGCCCCTGGTGGAGATCCAGTGCTCCCCCGACCTCAAGTTCTTTCTGTGCAGCATGTACACGCCCATCTGCCTGGAAGACTACAAGAAGCCTCTGCCGCCTTGCCGCTCGGTGTGCGAACGCGCCAAGGCCGGCTGCGCGCCGCTCATGCGCCAGTACGGCTTCGCTTGGCCTGACCGCATGCGCTGCGACCGGCTGCCTGAGCAGGGCAACCCCGACACTCTGTGCATGGACTACAACCGCACCGACCTCACCA